TACATTGAATTTTAGAATAAATCCATTGTATGTGTTACTTATTGAGTTCCCTAAGATTAAAAGTTATAAGATGACCCTATTTTATTAAATCCCTAAATTTATTTGATATCAGCTTTTCTATAAAAGTAGTTGATTAGTTGCATATTTGCAGAATTAATTAGGCTCAAATCCAGCTGCACTCCAACAATGGATCTCTGTGAGTACCAGGTTGGATGCTGGTAATTACACTGAGATTATATTTCGCAGACAACCAAACAGGAATGTGGTACAAAACAAAACGAACAGAAGAATAACCCTTGACAACCAAAATGAGTACAAAATATGGGCAATTACACAACACAGGAACTAAGGCAAATGAGCACAAAAATAGAATTTATATCTAAGAAATCTTCACCTATTCAGTTTCAGTATCCATCAACAGATGATTATTTCAATTCAGTTGCTATAATTTGTATGTTTTTCCGTGCTTCCTACTCTCACCAATCTCTCCTATTACATATGAACTGGCTCAATATGTACCAATTTCCTCAAAATCCGAATCATCGAGTAAAAAATGCAGATGCTTTTCTGCGGAATATACCAACCTAACATTTTACACTCGATTTATTGAAAAGAGACTTCACTCGAGCTCAATTCCTCGTGCTCTTGCTGCTTCCACGACAATGTTCCGATCTCCAATCTTACTGATTAGATTGTAATAACACTGCCACAACTTGAGGGAGAACGGATATGCTGTTAAAGCCTTTCTAAAACCTTGCAAGTACGGCCTCTATGCCAGGAATACTGTCCATTATATCTGCACCGTTTACCCATACATGCGCAGGTGGAATTGGGATTCCATGAAAGAATGCATCGACCAAGGTTGAGCTAGCCCAAAACAAAAGACTGGAAGAAACGTCCCTAATGTGGTCACCTCGGCTTAACATCTTACACACAGAAAACATTAACTCATAGTTGGACGGTGCTAATGCCAAGATGGCTTCCACAAAATCGACTAGACCCTTCGGCTGAGTTAGATTTTGGGGCAAAAGTGATGGGCCGTACCAGACTTCAAGGACCAAGTTCACAAGAGAAGAATCAGACGAGACTGGACTCAGAATGTTTCGAACAAGTTGCTGCACTCTTGGCTTCTCAATCACAGTGATAAAATGCCTAGATAGAGGCTCGCAGACTCGGAAAGACCGAGCAATTTCCAAATACATATTCAAAGTATTGATCTGCCAACTCATAGGAACCTCACTCTTTGTGACTCATCATTGAGCAAAAACAAGGCATGCTCCTTTACACAATGATTGAAACTCATGGGAGTAATGGCGGCCCTCAATGCCTTGTCAATAGCTGAGCGAGCCTCAACGTTATCATTGCGCAAAAAGTTGTAAAGAAAGAGATTAAGATATCCAAACATCATATCCGTCTGACCAGCGTTAGGTAACGCAAAGTGGGACTTTGATGTTGAATCCGTTTCATGAGAGACAAGAGAGTTCCCACCACCTATGGCGTCCAAATTTTCACTTTCAGGGTACTGAACTTTCCAAACCGAGTTATACCAGCGTGTCATGACATTTTTGCAACATCAGGTTTTCCATTCTGTTGGGCATATTCAGCATACTGATTCCAGATACAGTGAATTCCAGGGGATTCTTTTGGCCAGTTATGAAGGGCTTCTTCAAACCCGATAAAACCCATATTCTCGGAATCATAGTTTGGCACTCGTGCAGATATCAGAACAAGTTCTAGGCAAGATGGATACACTTTTCTGTATTTTCGAACATACTTTGACTGCAGTCAGCACTACCGAGTGCAAAAACACTTAATGTGATTGAGTGCAAAATCTTGTGCTGATTTGAAATCAATTTCACTCTTAAAGGATCCGATATTGATGTACGAGTCAACACAACTTACTACAATTTCTAACAACTGTAAAGCCCTTCATTTCATCATTGCCTAAATGAACAGAGGGCCATTCGACTGGAAGGAGTTCTTTCTCAAGCTCCAACCGCTGCACCACAGCATCTGGCAGCTTCCTGTAAATAACCAAGTAAATACAAGAAACCCATAATACACATTTGTCAGAAATGGTTAAGCATTTGAGGATATCAGAAAACATCGAACAGTGAGGCCCATCAGAATTTGTTGTAGCAGGGAAGAGTCTATACTGTCTGGATGGCTTTCTCAAAACTCCCAGATATGCAACACAATCCATCATCTGCAAAACAGGTCTAAGATGCATGCACTCATATGCATTACATTCTTTCCAGAAGAAGCACCACGACAAGTGCTGAAAGTGCAACCTCATAGGCAACCAATCGATCATCCAATTTTTCGACTGTTGATGTACATAAGCCAAAGTACATATGATCCTCCATTGCTTCTGACCTGAAGACCAAGAAAGACGTATGCCCAAACAAAAGGTTTGAATTTTATCTGAATTCTCCAAAGGGAGGAACAAGGATGCATGTCTATACATACACATTTTTATAGATATTCATATTCATACATGCTTAGTTTCTGCGTAAGATATATACAAAAAAAAAGAGGAATACCCAAGATTTGAAGTGCTACCTATGTAGAAGTAGGACACTAATTTAATGCCAATGCAAAACGAACATTAAAATTAAAAAAGAATAAGTATTGAAAATAACATAATAGATAGATTTGCAAACACACAAAAATACTTGGGCAATATCTTAGGCAAACCTAAAAGAATGACACGTGAACAAACATGCACACACATATGAAGCAATAATAACAGTCTTCACAGATATTTTCAGATTTTCTATTCCACAACCCACCCACCGATACAAAAATAAAAACCAACTTTACCCAATCCCAAAATTATCATTACTGTAACATGTCCATTCATGCGTCATTGGACTAGTAATTTCTTTAGCTCTACTGCTTCTATCCAGTTCCCACAGTAGCAAAGAGATAAAACCACTAATGGAAACCAGTGACCCCAACCAGGTTAAAACAGAAATAAAGATCTCAAAAGCATGCATAAGACAATGGTCAATATAATTAGTTTCCAAATGAAGAGAACTATGGACAGCCAAGATGTTCCGATAGTTATGACACTGTTAGTGTCTGTATGAACTACCATTAGAAGAGTGAATCAACAAAACCAATAGACAAACCTCTACATATCAGATGTAGTTACAGTTAACCAATACCATACCTCCAATATCTGAATGTCACCAACATGCAGAGGGTCGAAATAATAATTATAACCATGCATATAAATTTACATACTGCAAAGGAGAACATGTCAAGCATATAAATTTACATACCGCAAAAGAGAACATGTCGTCCATTCCAACAAACAGCCTACGGCTATAGCAAATAAGCAGGTAAACCATCCAGAGAGTTTCTGATGCTGGATCAGCCTCGAGGGACCGTGAAAGCAAAGAAAGAGCCTGCAAATTAAAAAAGTGGAGTTGATGACCGACAGAACTTGGTATAAGAATATGAGCCACATGTTATCTTGCAGGTTGCTAAGGTTACCTTTTTCATACCCTCCAATTTATTAACCTCCTGGTTGAGGATAAGCAAAGCCATCTCCAAGGACTGGACCATCGTATCAAAAGATTGGTTGAGTTTTTCTGAGTACACACCATGAAGGACTGTCTTAATTAGAATATGGATGTAAACAACACTATGCTAAATTGTCATTTATGATACATAAAAATAAAAATAAATGTAAATGAGCGGAAGCAAGCAAGCAAACACTGATTGAAAGTTGAAAAATAACAGAAGGCATTGCTTTTGACAATCTTGGAGAGAGCACCAGGTTTTCCCAAAAGAAGACCAAAGGGTTTAACCGTAGGAAATTGTATAAAGAAAACAGGAAATCAGTTATAGAATGTATTCTTGGAAAAATAACCAAGACTTCCCAATTTCTTTCAATCTCGCAATTAACCAGAGATTATTAAAGAATAAATGGAAGTTCAACCCTATGCTCACAGTCAAAGGGGCTTAAACACACATACTTGAAAGTACACAAAACAATTTAGGGGAAACAGAGACTGAGTGATGTTGCCCGGTCTGTACATAAATATCAGGCAGGAAATTTGTAAAGCTAAGATAAACAAAAGAAAAGGATTAAAAAAAAAAGAGTAGAAAAATAAAATAGAATGCGTTACAAACCGCTATTCCATTTCTACTTTGGAAATATGAGGATTGCCTATTCCAGCTTCCATACACTTCGATACGACCATCGTCACCATGGAAAAGATTCATCATCTGTAGGTAATCGTTCATCTGTAGGTAAATCCTTCCGAAAAATGCTTGATAGAGATAAGCAAATACTGAAATACTTCCACCAGCAATGTGCATTTCCCCAAGGCACAACACATTCGTGTGGATCAGCTTTCAGAATATCTAAGCTGACAATATAATTGTGAAATGAAAACATCATAATATTTGGCAAGTTTTGTTGGACCATTAATTTGCTCTTGATATGATGCCAGAACAAGCTGAGAATCTGCAAAAGGGTTATTTCAACAAGGTTAGCAACAAAGCACAGGTTTCCAAATTTGTAAAAAAAAAATGTTATTCATACCAGCACTGTCAGAATCATCATTTCTATTCAAATATGTATTCTCTTGGACAACTCCTTGACATGTTGAAAGGGGCATTCATCATTGTTGCATTTTCCTCGGAGCTCATACATGCAGAGTGGCCAAGATGGGTCAACTGCAATATTGCACACATATGAGCCCATTTGTTTCCCAGATAAATCACGAATGGACTCCTCTAAAGTGTTTGTAATCTGACCAGACTGTTCAATTTCATCAATGATGACATAAGCACCCTCTTCACTATAGACATGGTCCTCTCTTTGTCTGGAGACAAGAGACAAGGCCTTCAAATGGCCAATTGCACTCCTCAAAATGGAAGAAGGTGAAAATATTGTAGATGTCACTGGAAAGTGGCATCCAGCAGAAAATCCATTGTCCGCTACATTTTCTGAAGAATGAAACTTTAGAATATTATTTTTTTCCTGGTGCTGGCCCTCATTCTCCACCAGAGCTTCTGGTGTAACTTCATTTGGTTTTTCATGGCCTATATCAGGAAATGTCTATTGTTATATAATTTTTCAGCAAACCAAATAATGCTGCTAAAACATTGTTCACAAAGATATAAGCTACCTGAAACATCAAATTGATGCTTTTTCTCTGCCTCTGAGAGCGTAATACTGCCATTGCTCATCTGGGTCTTTTCACTTTCAACATCATTTTCAGCCCCTCGTTCGATAGAAGGCTCATTGTAACATGAATCAATGTTCTTTGATGAAGTTCTCACCCCCAGCCTTGCAAATAGTTCAGGCCTCAATGATGCTTCAAGAAGCAAAGAATCCTGATTACTAGACTCATTATTTGCATTCTTTTCAATTACTTCAGAGTTCTGTTGTTTTTGCTGATAGTCAGGACTGGGTTGAAAAGAATCAAGGTCCATTAGAGAAGTCCCTTCATCTGCTGAAATAATAGGGCTGCACGGAGATCTTAATCCATTAGCAGCATTGTTGCTAATATTATGAGGAAATGGCTCTGATGTACTGCATCCTGCTCACTGCATGGTTCAGAACCCAAATTTTGTCCATTGTTATGCCGTAGAGACATATTTTGAGGAGCTATATTTACATTGGACATTTGCATCGTTCCCTGGTTGATGAAGACCGTCATAGGCAGGCGGTAGTCTATTAGATCGGTACAAGGTTCATATTTTCAGGTACATCATCTGAGATATCCAATCCTGTTCTGGTGTGCTCATGTTGCCTGGAAGACCATAATAAACAGGAATTGTCCCAATTAAAGATCTGTAGCGGGCCGAACAAAGTTCCCTTTCACGATAAAGAACTGTACATCTAGCATTAGCTTCAATCAAAGCTCTCTGAGCTTTCCGGTAAGCTTTAAGTGCATTTCTTTCTTCAATTTCACACAAGCGTCTGTGGTTCTGTGCTTCCTCTAGCTCCTTGTCCAGATTTTCCTCAATTTCAACTAAAGAATGTATATCCACATCTACATTAGAATGACCAGAGATATTTACATTACTCAAACTTTTCCACAGCCTTGCGGTATCCTGAGATTTCTGAAATTCAATGTTAGTAAAGTTTCAGCATAGTCATAATATGAAGCAAGACCCGTCAGATGACACATAGGACGGGAAAAATGCATTGAATATTTCGACTATGACATTTAAGGGTGGAAAGCAGCTATGATATGTTATAACCACACAATTCCAGTATTATTTTTAAGAAACATTTTCAGTGAAGTGCACCACTGCACCTTAAAACGTCAACTTACCAAGTTATTTGGCATAGCATTGGCACTTATGTTTGTTAAAGGTGCAGTCTTATTTGCTAAAACACTTGGATCAACCTCCTTACTGGACCTTTTGGATTGTTGCAAATTCTTATGCAAGTCGACACCTGCGGGATGAAAGAACCATCAGTCAGAGCATCCACAGGATTGTATAAATTAAAACAGATGAACAATTTATTTTACCATCCTTCACCACTTTAGATGTGTCTTCTGATGAAATATCAACCAGCTTGTCATCTTTCTTTTTCCATTTAATGTTTGACATGGCTTTGCTTACTGGAGCTACTTTCTTGCTTTGCTCACCTTATCCTTGCTCTGAAGACTGTTTGTCTCCATTTTTTGGTCTTTTGGCACTGAATTAGATTTTACATGACTTACCTCTGGTTGGGCACCTGAATATGACTGGGTAAAATTAGAATCTCCGGCTTTCAAGCGTTTCTTCTGTGGTTCTTTTGGATCTATTGAACCAGCATACTGAAGCTGCAATCCACTTCCTTCCTCCACTATCTTCTAGGTTCATAGTTGTTGTTTCCTTATGTTGAGCCTTAAGCTTCAATTCGCTTTCCTAAGTGCAATCTGATGTCTCAAGTCCTGTAGTTTACTATTGTTGGAAACTGCACCTTGCTCAGGCAAAAGATCTTGGCAAGCCACAATTTTGTTGTGGGGATTAAAATATCTAACTTGTGATCCTTGATCAACCGAAGAAACAGAAACCTTGGGATTGGCCCTACCATTGGTCTTGGTCATTGATGAGATAAATGTACGGCTTAAAGGTTTCTTGGGAATTACTCTGGTAATATTCCTAGAAGTCTGTCCTAACTTGTTCATATTTGGTACAGATGAAGTTAGGGGTCTCTGCGAACCATCCCAAGTTGAGTTGGATTTATTTCAACAGGTTTTTGTCGACTAGATTCTTCCAAGTCACTTCCACTGTCATCATCTGAAAAGCGTATTACAAGATTATTGATGCCTCCAGAAGGTGCATACCAACTACGATTAATGGATTTAACTGGCAACTGATTCTTCTCAACATTTTTCTGACTCATTGGTGGAATTGGTTGTTTTGAGAGAACGTCAGTAGCACTGGCAATATTATTACCAGCAATAGCATTCCCTATATATATCAGCGGAAACATTAAAATATATTATTAAAATTCAGAAAACAATTAACTGTTTTCACAATATTAGAAAAACTTTCTATATTGTAGGTAAAAGGCATTTTCCAGATGTAGTGAAGGCAGCAGAGGTAAAATAAAAGCAAAAAAACTTAGATAAAAAGACTTATAAACCATCAAATAGCATTGAAATACTGCATTCCTTGGAGTGCAATTTGAGCTCGAGTTTAATACTAATATACATACAGACATTTCAATGGGCTTCAACTGCAACAAAATAAGCTCTGAATATGTTGGAAACATCGAAGCTACTTGAGAATCTCAGCATTAGCCTCTAGGACTTACCAGACAGATTTGGTGGTATGGGTTTCACTGGTGAAGGCGCTGCATTAGGCCTCGAAGGTGGGGCAATAGTACCACTAGGCTGTTCAGTGGAGCAATCCAGGTTTTCCTGGAAAGAAAAAGCATTTAATACAACAAAAGTCTGGTACATACTTTTGATACAAAGAGAGAAAAAAATGAACCCAAAACAACAGACAATAGCAAAAACTTATATATATATATATTAACCAAGCTACAGCTTAGTATATTTCAAAAGAAACAAAGTTATCACTAAAACCTCTGCTTCGGATCCAATATTTTACAAAGAAACAAGAAGTTTCTAAACTAAATGTAACTAAGCAAACTAAAATATACAAGAATAGTATGCCTTTAAGTCTAAAAAAAAAAAACTTAAACTACGAAAAAAAGAATCCGACCTTCATTTATCTTATTTAAGATCGAAAGTGATGAAATATTTTCTTTCCCTTTTCCTCGATTTCTCAGCAACCATACACAGCCCGTTACAATAATCAAAAGTTCAAAAATCCATATATATACACACACAATAAATCTGTAAAATTGGACAAATGATTTTTCATAGAAATGAACACTTCCTTATATTTCCGCAGCAGCCAAAAAACAGTTAAACAAACGAAGAAAATATATATATGAAAATTAGAATTAAAGAGAGAGAGAGAGGAGTACGATTACGTCGTCGTATGAATCAGAGAGCTCGCCTTCTTCTTTAGTTTTAGAGTCTTCGATGTCTTTGTTAGGGTTTACATTCGTTGAATTTGAAGCCATTGCTTTGGTTTTAAGCTCATCATCATCCATGAATTTAATAATATTTTTTCTTTATCCTTTTCCCCCTCCTTGACTTTCTCCTTTAGACTCAATCGTGAGGTAAAAGAGAAAAAAGAAACCGTCTCTTGAACGTCACGGTGAATCGGGTTGTAGAGGAAAATTGTGATGCTGGAAAAGAATCGAGAGGCGGGCGGATCTTTTTTAAAGACGGGAATACCCTTCATCTTGTTATCGATTTACGTACTTGGGGACTTCCGTTCGTCAATGTTCTCGATATCGACAGCTCAGCTAAGAACCGAGTCATATATAAAACCGGGCATGATTTTCTGGTTTTGGATTTAGATTCGCTTTCAATATAATTAAATAAAGAATTAATTATAAAATTAATTCCTTTCGTTTAAATTTTATATATTTTTTCTCGTTGAATTCAACAAAATATAATATTTAATTATTTTTAAGTTTATTTAATTAAGATATAATCACTAAAAATTATTTATCATTAGATCTTTAATGGATTGCTTACATGACATATTAAATATAAAAAATTAAAAATGATAAACTATGCAAATAATCATTAATATCTAAATAAATTTTAGTTTTTCTAATTATTTTACATTGATTTTTTCAAATATAATCACTAATATCTAGTTGACATGATCGTAGTATTAAAACTAGTGAGGCAACAGGCGAGTGTAACTAACTTTTTATATAAAACGATATGAGGATGGCATGTGATGATTCAATCTCAATCGATCTGAAAAAAATGCTTTTAAATTGTATTTTAAAAATACACATTTTTTATTATTTATTTGATAGCATGTGAATATTTTGAGTATGAACTGCCCAAAATTGGTTTTCTGATATTTTTATTTATATTCGATATGAATGTTTTATATGGAGAACAATATATGATTTTGAATTACGTCGTTGTATGAGACTGAGAGTTAGTAGTACAAATGGCATGTCATGAGGTAGAGTAATTCTTGATTGTTGTTCACTGATTAATACTGGCATTTTATGTGCACAGTGGGTTCATATGTGACATTGTGAAATCCATATCGGATTACTGGTACAGTGATTTTGTGTTTTACAGTACTTGTACATTACTGTTACTAGCGATGGAAGTACAAATTATTACTGATAATAAAATTGCAAAAAAAAAACACGCTCACTCGTTTACTGACTCATGTACCATATATCCTCATGATGATACAGTAGACAATAATATGAATTGAAATAAAGTAGTACATAATTGATTTTTACACAGTATTGTTGATTGTCAAACTGTTTAAGTAAAATTTTTATTACGGGTTTTGAATTGACAGTTAATATATAAATGTCAGTATATGCAAATAATTTTATTGCTCACAATTTGATTTATATATGTTTAATTTTAATAGTAATTTTTATATGATATCAATTGTTCTATATGTTAAAAGTTTTACTTATTTTATTATTGTTGGGATTTGTGGAAGCTTGAATCGACAACAGAAAGTGTTGCAATGAAATGAATTGACAATAATGTTTAGGGAGTAAGGAGAATAAAAGATAGAGAAAATTGATACAATAATTTATAGTGGTTCGACTTATCAACCAAGTCTACCTCCACTACCTAAGCTCATCACTTAGAATTTTCTAACAAATTCACTAATTTGTTCTTTCTTTTTAAATTATCAAAAGATAACATTTACACTCCTTAATTTTTCACTTGGCTAAACTAGAATCAAACCCCTTTTCACAAAAAAAAAAAGAAATATAAATAAGAAAACTTCTCTAAGGTAGGTGTTTACAAATTTAAAATCACTAAAACACAATATTTACAAGAGAATAGAAAAATAAGAATGAAAAATTATTCTCTTGTGTTTGATTGTTTGGATATTTGTTTTAACCATTCTTCAAGTGTCTTGAACTTGTATTTATATGTTGGAATGAAGTTGTGGTCGTTTCTAGCCGTTGGGGATGATTTCTAGCCGTTTGGGGATGAAAACTCTGCAAAATAAAATTGTCCAGAACAAGGGTATTGGTACTCTTAAAGGGAGTATCGGCACTACCTTCGTTTATTTTTAAATCAACTAGTCATTACTAGCCGTTGGGGTCTGATGGTATTGATACTATGCCTATGATATTGATACTACTATACAAAGTAATATTGGTACCCTTTGGGTATCGGTAGCATTTTTGTATTCTAGAATTTGAGCAAAACTGATAGTATTAATAATACCTAGTGAGTATCGATACTTTCCTTACCTTAGTATCGGTACCATATGAACAATATCAGTATTGTTCATGAGGTATCGATACTGGAAGAACATTATCGGTACTGTTTGTCCAGAAAATTGTTTTGTGCTCAATTCTACTTTTAAAGACTTTGAATTATTTTTGAAAAACTTTAAATAAATTAAATTCAAGTCCAAAAATATTTTGTCTTAATTGTTATATCAATATATAGTTCAACAATTATGTTGTCTCACTAAGTGAAAAACTTAACGTGTGATTGGTTCACACGTAGGTATTAAGCTAGCGAGCAAGGTAGAACACATATCAGCGTCATTTCGGAGAAATCAAATATGACACTAGAATTAGTAAGGACATCTTGTTTTGTTAAGGTTTTAGTTACTTTAATATTTATATTAGTTATAAAAAGATTTATAACTTAATACCTAAAACTGTTTTAAAATAGATAATATTAAGTACAATAAATAAAATAAATGAATAGTATAGTATTAAATTACAGTTTTAAAAATTGTATTATAGTTTTATGTGATTATTAGTTTTAAAAATAAAAAATGCATTTTAAGATTTTAAAGAATTAAAATTTTAACATTTTCAAAAAGAAAATATTTATACTAGTGTGACATATTTAACTTGTATGTGGTGACATATATAGGTTAAATGTGTTACAAAATCTCTCTTGTTGAAAACTTTATAAAGTAGGTCAGTTTATGTACAAGTGATTTGTGACATAGGGTCTCAAAATTTTATATTCATACACATGAATGTCATTAAGATCCGTCTATGTACAACATTTGTGTTCTAACGATATTTTTGTTTTAAGAAAAAACAAAAATTTTGTTTTATTCTCGAAAATTACAAACGAAGATTTTGACAATATCTTTAATAGTTTTTTATGATGATTTTTGATTAAATTTTTTTCATAAATCTCTCGTAATTTAAAGTTTCAAAATTAATCTTTATTATAAAATATTTTAATAATCTCGTTTAAAAAAATTACACAACCTACATATCTTTTGAGATGGGTACGGTGACAAGAAAAACCGATGAACATGGGTGCGTACAACTGCAGCAATGACTGCTTTGGGTAGAGGAACCTTCGAGATCAGATATGTCGGCCGTGCTCCGTCAGCTGCCACTGCGACCGGCTTCTAATCCGAACAAACGGAGTTGCTGTTCAACCCGAACCAATATCACCATCTGAAGCTTTGCTTAAAGTCAAAACTATAGCATTGAAAAAATTATCTGCAAAGGCAGAGATACACGAAGCTGAACCAATTATCAAATTGTAATTTGATGATGAAAAACAAGTTGGTCTAATATGATAAAACACTAGATTTTTTTAAATAAAGTTAAGGGTTTTATTCATGTATGGAACCAACTGGGTTGGAAGGTTGCATTCACCTCTACAATACCGATTTAGTTTAGTCGATTAATAAATCGGATATTAATAATTATACCTAAAAAAAAAAATGTAATTTGATGCATAATTTTCATTTGTAATATTCTTTTTGATATTTTTTAACCCTAACATTATATAACAATGCATCGGTTTCTTTTATAATGCAGAAACTGAAGTACCTATTACTATGGAAAAATAATTTTTTTTCTTTTTTCTTTTCTACATATTAAAAACCCGTTTGGTGTAGCGTCAATAGAAATTTATTAATTTTAAAATATAAATAATATAAATTTTCTTATATTCTTTTTTCGTTTTGTAAGGAATGTGGTTTGAATATAATGAACGTGATGGGATATTTAAAAAAAATGATAATTAGAAAGTTTTTAGGGTAAATCAGATATAAAACCATTATTTAATGGTATATTTGATATTTTAACAGTAGTTTAGGGATAAAATTAAATAGTAATCTTTTTATTAACGTTGTAACGGGGATGACAATCAAGTGACGTTTTATTACAATCAACAACGTTAATAACTAATTATGAATTGTCCGTCCAGCTTAGTTGGTAGAGCGCAAGGCTCTTAACCTTGTGGTCGTGGGATCGGTCCCACGATGGGCAATTCATAATTCTAACTGCTGGGAGGTCTTCTACGGAAGCTGTTCTCAAACTGGCGTTAGGGGCTAGCCTACTACCTTACCTTCCCCTCACCCCATTATATATGAGAATAAGGCCAGCTAATTTTTTTTTTAGTTTTTAAATTTCAGTGAAAAAAAAAACTTACTCAAATATTAGTAATCATTGATATAGTTTGCCTCTAATTTAAAACTGGATAGTACTGAAGAAAAATTCAAATAGATAGAAGCCAAACCCTAAATTCGAATACTGTTAAAAGGACTAAAGTGCAGTATTTGTTTTTTAGACTTAAAACAAAATATGACCACATGCGGAGGAAAGGTATTTGAACTAAGATTGTAAATGAAATGAGATAGATTACGATTTATTCGAGATTGATTCGATCAATTTTTGAATCGAATAGATTCAACTTAAAATCAAAATTGAATTCTTAACTAGTCCAAACAAGCAACTCAATAATATTAAACTATTTTTATTTTATTAGATTTTATAAATTAAATTATTAACAATATTAGCATTTATATATTTTTAAAAAATATAATATAGGATTTTCATACACTTAAGGTTCAGATTTTTTATTTCAAAAATTTTCAAACACGAGTCAAGTTTCAATTTTTTGATTTCAAGTTAAGTTTAAAAATTTTGAGCTCATGAGCTCTCCAGTCGAGTCAAGCTTCACCCTTTATTTCAAATTCAAATCAAACTTGATAATTTTAAACTTGTGAATTTTCGAGTAAAATCCAATTATACATTTTCAAGTTAAATTCAACAAAATTAAATTCAACAATGTTCAAATTCGATTTGACTCTTTACAACCCTAATTCCAAGCCCCTTGCTCTCCCTAAATATTGCTTTATCTTTTAGGGTAAACTACATAATTAGTACTGAAATTAGTACTTTTGTTTCATTTCAATAATCAAAATCTACTTTTATCAAAACTATACCTAACATTTAATTTATGTTTCATTTTATCCTACCATTAAAAACTTAACAATGATATTAACATGCCACCACAAGCGTAAATTATTGGCTTCGCCCGGATATAACTTTCCAAAAAGTCCAATATGAAATTACTGGCCTCAGTCTGGATATGTATGGCATTCCAAAAGCGTTCAAAAGGGGGGGGGGGAATCAAAATGAACATAACAATGTCCGATAAACCACCAACACCCAAGTACTGTAACAAAGTCTCCAAAGATTGGATTATGAGCCGAAAAAAGGTGCACAACAGAACTTCATTCCGGTTTCAAGCAAAACATTTTTCGTTGCCGGTTAAAAGCTAGGCTTACACAAACTCTTAAGGATCAATGGAGTTCAACAATAAACCTTCTTTTTAAAATCTCAAGATGATGTTGGATTACCTGGTTCCTGAATTTGAATGGATGTTCTTGACAAACTAGCTTCAAGCTCGTTCAGCTCATCCATGTCAAGTTCATCATCATCCTCGTCCAGAAGGATGTCTTCAGAATCAGCAGCTCCACTGCTCGGCCCAGCTACCATTGAGTCATCCGTGACCTGAAATTAATGACGATGAAAATAAGCTGATAGGAAACAATAAGTTGCAATAATTTAAGGATTCATGATACACGACCTCCGTAAAAATACAAGTTTCTAGCCACAACAAATCCGATCATTTTAAGCATTGTTACCATTTACAATTGGATGTCCAAGATCCAAGATAAATAACAGATCCTGTTGCAATCCAAAGAAGCACCAATGGTGAAGGTACTGTTAAAAAACAATATATGGGAATAATTCCATATTGGCTTCAGACTTTTTTATTTTTTTCTCTTGAAGTACACGTCCAACACCCCTGATCGACCCATGTCAGGAAAAGAATTAAATAACTGTATCTGACACTTAAACCAGCATTGGGTAACATAGCATAGCTAGATGCCCACCCTGTGAAACACGATAAATCCCGTACCCCACGAGTAACATGACATATAAATTAATAACCATTGATGTACACAAGAAGATAACTAGATGTATGTTTCTCTGTGTTCTGAAGCAGGAAGGAAGGCTGAAAGAAGTGAGGACAAAGGTGATTGATAAAACTAGAGATAAAGACATGAATTTGTGCCTGAGACACACAGGTATGTTAGTGTGGGAGTCCAGGATTAGAGTCACACAGGTATGTCTCCAAGACAAGTTTAAAATATCATAACTCCATACCCATGTTTGAATATATCAGACATGGTGCTTCTAGAAAAATTATCACAGCTTTTACGAAAACAAAGGAAACTTGATATTGATTTCATCTAAGAACTGCACTTTCATCACTCAAGCTATTATAGCAGCAGCCTCTCATTAAAGCTTTTTCAAGAGAACAGATATAGCAGCTTTAAAAAGAGGCACTGAAATGAGACAGGAGAAAATAGAGAACTGAAATCAAAACACAGAAACTTAAGGCTCTATGTTACAATCCTTCCAGAACAGATATTTTCACCTGTGCAGGAAGAGTCAGAATTTTTGTGTGCGTTTGTATGTTCTGATACTGGTAGGTAAGTGGATATCAGGATGGCAAAATAGCCCAAACGATGGATTCGGACCCAATCCAATAGGGAAGGCTTTTTAAAATTAAATAAAGATGGGTTGAAGATGGAGCATGTTTCTAATTAAATTTTAGGTTCGGGGCAAGATGTTTATATCAAGCCCATTCTCACCTTGGAAAATTTAAAAAAAATATCCTATTTTTAATTATATAACTATTTCAGATTTTACAACTTTTTAAGGATTTCTTGATTCTTATAAGATTTTATAATATTTATTTAATTTAATATTGTCAAAATTTACATACTAGACAGAATTATGTAATATTTCTAGGCGGGTCAGAGTCAGAGTTGGATGCTATAAATAAAAGTTAGGTCAAGGCGAGCAAAGAAAACACCCAATCCCATTGTCATCCCTAGGTGAAGAGCCAGGAGGGGGATGGAAGAGCAAAGAAATTGACTAAAAGAACAAGTTTCCAGCTGACAAAGAGTTTTCAATGATACTGAAAACTGATAATAAAAGAATTACCTTCTGCTCAGTAACCTCTGGTTCTTCCCTCCGGTATTCCTCATATGCTTCAGCATCATCCACAAATAAACTTGCATCCGAGAGAAACAACTCACGGCCACTGAAATTGACAAACAAATAAATCAGATTAGCTCAAGTGGAATATTTTAAACACAGAACAACAAGGATAGTAATACCTCATGCGATCATTCTTAGCCCTATCTGCTCGTTGAGCAGCCAAACTAGCTTCTCTTTCTTCCATCTTTTTCGTCTTCCATTGCAAAAACAACTCAGTAGTCATTGGTGTCGTTGTTGTTACTTTTGAACGCTGAGAAAATCAGATAAACAATCATAACAACAGCAAATAACTGAAAAACAGTAGAATAAACATGAAATAGTTTACACACATGACCTAAAATGGTACTTTCATTGAGGGGAGATAGAAAAAAGGAAACTCAAAATGGTACTCGTCAGTTGTTATATAGCATAAAGGCTAAAATATGATAATTTTACCTGGTTTTCTATCTCTTCCTCGATAGTTATTTTCTCACTCTCCTCCTCCAAAAGTGCCTTCATTTGAGACTTCAAAACATATCCTGGAGGAAGGGCATGTCTGTAGTGACAATCCTTGCCACCATTTGGGCACACCCAGAACCAACCATACTGTTTCTTTTCGACAGCTTCCAGAAAGTATTTGCAAACCTATGCACAAGGGTTATAAAAGTATTGATGCAATGGCACATATCTAACCACACAAAGAAATGGGATCTGCTAAGAATGGCTTGTGAGTTGTTGAGAAGTATCATGGCCGAAAACCGCCTAAACTGTTACGATGTAAAGAAAGATATTGGAAGTTTACATAGTTGTTGATAAATTGGATCTTAATTACGTTGCTGTGACTCTTCAAACTTTTATAAAATACCTGTGTCAAACACCTACGTCTAACATGGTATGGGGATATGATCCTCCAAGGGTTCTCTAAATACATGGGAAAATTTAGAAGAAATTGAGCACACCCGTTTAGACACATACCTACATCTTGAATCTAAATAACATAGCTTTTTATTCTTCCAAGTAAAAAGACGACCATTACCAGCCAAAATTAAATTATGATTAACACCTAGTAATTATCATTACTGTAAAAACCAGAGTCCATCTGACAAAACCTAATTGCCTACATAATTTTCTACCTTCTAAGTTTTTTATCCTTATTAGACTAAATTCCACCTCCAACAAAATCACTTTCATTGCTATCCCTCACCACTGATTATTGTCAAAATACGATCAATACCTTATGAAAAGAATAGATTGAGAAGGAAAAAGATTTCATACAATATCAGTGGGTTTATTCTGATTATACTCTGTTTTCTTCGATTCCACAACCTTCTCCAGGGTCTCTTGATCCCATTCCTCCATTGTTTCTAAAAGAAAACAACCCCGAAAGGAAATCAAAATCCCATTGTTACTGAAAAAAGTCAAAGGTATTGCATGCTAACTATAAGTCCATTGATTACCTTGATCACGCTTATCACTGTAAATATCAATCTTCTCACCCTTCCGTTGAACATTCAAATCGTGAGAGAACTTGCACTTAAAACCTTTTGTACACTGTCCCGCTTTGAAAAATTCGCATACAATGGACTTGGGATCCACACCTATCCAATAACCCAACTTCCATTATCAACTAAATGATCTCGAATTATAAATATAAAACACAAAACCAATAAATAATTAAGTTCCAAAAACAAACACTATACATACCAGGGGGGACTTTTGGTTGTGTAACAGCAATTTTAAACAAATCATTTAACTCCTTCTCTCTAGCTTTCTCTTCCTCTTTCTTTTTCTGTTCGTTATCACAATTAGCAAATTCATTTTTCATTATTTTACAAAAATGAAATCAAGGACTAAAATTTCAAGCTTGTTTTAAATTAACTAACAAATATCCAACAAAAGATTCCCACTTTCAAAATCCATCCATTACCACTAAGACCGCTTAAATTATTGAGAACCAAATTTATTATTACATTTGCTACTTATTTACTCAAAATTTGCTAGAAAAAAAAGGAACAAATTCATATTCATAAAAAATAAAAATTAAAGTAAAAATGCATTGTGTATTCAAATATAGTCATTTTTGCATTTAATAATTAAAATTTGCAATTAATTTATTTAAGTTGTTTTAGTTTTAAATATTATTAGAACTAATACTTACTTTCCTATAAAAAAAAGAACTAATACTTACTTCAATAGTACAAAAATTAAAATAAGCAAATATTAACATGAAAATTGTTCAACAAATAATTATTTCATATGAAAAGAAAATTTGATGAATTCATAAATAAGAGCTTTCAACATGTAGAGAAACGGATACAAGTTCCAAAATAAAACTTTTTTTTCAAATAAAAATAATGAAATAGAACCGATATCTACTTCAATATTCAATATCAACATAAAGAAATAATTAAAAAATAAATTCTTAAGAAATCATTATTTTAAATAAACTAAAATCGTGAATTCCATTGTTCTGCTCTTGGCATATAAAGAAGGTACCTTAGCGGCGGCTTTAGACGAGTCGGGTTTGGGTTGAACGGATTGCTGGAGATTTTGAACATATTTCTGAACATTTTTGCTTTTGTTTTTGTTCTTCAATCCGAATGTTTTGTCTTCAACCACTTTTTGCTTTTTCGCCAAATCAGCTTTCGATTTAGCTTGCTGCTTTGGAGGCATTGTTTGCGAATCGACGAATGAGAAAAGGAGGTAAATAATATCGAAATTAATAACAAAATTTGGGTGAAATTTTGAAACTTTATTTGCGGGCTGGGTGGAAGTATTGGAAATTAGGGTTTAAGAGAGTTCAATTTTATAGCGTGGAGATTGGAGATCGATACAGAACACGTTTTTTTAAGGGTAAACTACTCCAATGGTCACTAATTTTTAAGTAATTTTTTTTGATGTTTCAAAAGTCACAAATAGGTCACTACTATTATCGTTTGTTACATATTAATCACTCGCCGTTAACAAGCGTGATGGAAAACATATGTGGACGGTTAACAGCCGTTAACATGCTTACCTAGATTGTATAATTACACAAATAATCCATATTATTTATATATTCTTTTAATTTGATCATAGTTTTAATAAATTAAAATATATTTATTTTTAATTCTTATAAATTTTGTTTATTCTCATTTATTTAACTTAATTAACGAAAAATTCATTGAAGTTTAGGTTATTTTACACTCATAAATTTCAACAAGAAAAAGAAAACATTTGTTAATCAAACTGAGGAAACAACCAAGGATCAATCGAGGGCAAAGAAAACGTAGAAATCCCAGAAAAATTATTTCTAGTATGAAAAAACAATAATCATAGCGCCATGGAGGCACTGGAAACCCCTCTCATCAGCTTCACAAGGAGACGACTGATCATTCCCAAAGATCTAATCACAGCTTGTTTCCTCTTCTCTTCATCTTCCTTGAAACAGTAAACAGGAGCCTGCCATTCAGAATCCTCAAGAACAGCTCCCACTTCAAATGTCATTACATGAGCAGTGTACCCTGCACTCTCCATAAAAGTTTCCAATGTTTCTCACAAACAATCAAATGAATGAACTTTAAATTGTTTAAAAATACGCTTTAAAAAAAACAATTTAAATAGAATCAAGGGAAGTCGTGGAACTAATACCAGTGTAAAATGCCCAGTAAACAGGTCGCTTAGTGATGACATCTTCATAGTACCAAATGAAGTCGACTTTCTCCCACACATTGCAAAGGAACCCATCTTTGTGTTGTTGGCCTAAGTAATTAGCTTCGTCGAGCCAATTCGGGCGGAGAACACCGACTTCGAAGTGCAAAACTCTGCATTCTTTGTTGGTGTAGATAAAGGAAGTGCCGTTGTCCCATTCCAGGTCGTAAGTGAGCTTAACGAGCTGGTTCTGGATAATGTTGAAATTGCGACCATTAGGTTAGTCGTACCAGAGATCAACTTTCTGGAGAGTGCCGCTGTTGTTCATGAAGAGAACGGAGTGGAATTGAAGAGGCCATGTCGATGGCGTTGGGTCCTTGGGTTTCGATGAGAATGCTGAGAAATGGAATGAAATGAATAGAATGAAGACGAAGATGGGTTTAACTGCATAAGCCATTAAATAGGGTGAAGCTGATGAAGGAAAAGAACAACAAACAGAAATATAGATAATGAAGAAAGGATTAGAAATTTTGTTGCTTCTACTTGAATTAAAAATCACATTTAATTATTTTGTATAAGAATATATTTTAATTTATTAAAACTAGGATCAAATTGAAAGAATACATAAATAATAGGGATTATTTGTGTAATTATACCATCTAGGTAAGTCTGTTAATAGCTGTTAACCGTCCACGTGTGTTTTCCGTCACGTATGTTAACGGCGAGTGACCAATTTGTAACAAACTATAACGGTAGTGATCGATTTGTGACTTTTGAAACATCAGTAGTGAAAACGAAAACTTATCCAAACATTAGTGATCATTGTAGTAGTTTACACTTTTTTTTATTTAGTCGAAATGACGATTTTATCCTCACAAGAGGTATGGTATTACTTCTACATCTATTTATCTTGTTTTTGTTTGGAATAATAATAAATATATTTTTTAATATTTATGTATTTTATCCTTTTATCTTGATTTGAAAATTTTAATAAATTTGATATTTATATATTTTATTAATTTTGTTTTCGTATCTTTTTCGTGTTACGTCTTCATGTTATTTTTCTGCTATAAAAATTTTCAGAATAATTCCTTATTGATCTAGCCCTCTGAAGATATATGTATTCCAATCAATTGCAATCTTTTAGCATGATCTTTAGCATGTCCACATAGTCTACCGGAGCTAAATATACTATCATGAAGTCATATTCATCCACCTTCCTAATCTACAAATATTTATTATGACACAAATACTAAGGTAATTATAAAACCCCTATTACAAGACTAGAGGCTTCTACTTATTCTTTTCCTCTTTTATTCTATAAGGATAGAACACATGGTTCATTACTTATAATTGACCACTTGTCGTAAAGTTATTGGTTACAATTCTCTACCCAAATCAAATAGGTGAACTGTCTATATTCGTCGCAACCCAAATGTTCTCATCAAAAATTGATGTGGTAAACATGCAACAGTTCCCGGGGAAAAAAAGAACCACTCAAGTTGAAATCTCAAGAGTAAAATATTCAAGGCTACTTCACACATTTTTCTCAAAATCTCTCTGATGTGCTTAGTTTTTTCCGACTAGCAACAATAAATTATGTACGATCTGAGCTCTACTAAAGCTTCTTGCAAGTTCACAAACCGCATAATGGGTTATGGGGCTTGCACACACGATTTCAAGCCTCCTGGGTAGCCCAACTGTAGTTGTAGTGACATGATCATCTATAACACCCTAATTTGACCTTAAAAAAATGAGGGATTCGAGTGTTAATCAAAATCATCAAAGTGATAAACTATTTTTTAAAAGCATTTACTCAAATAATAAGGCATAACCATCATAATCAAATAGATAAATATAAATTAAGTTTACAAAATATGGAGCTCTCGATAATACAAACTAAGTATCAATAATAAGTTTTACAAAATAAAGTTATGTCTCAAAAATGACGTAAGGTTAATGAATACACGTACACATTATATATATGAAATATGTACTTTGAAAGATCAACAGCTGGAACTCTGACTCGATGATGGTGCTCCTCCATCTACTCCTAAGTACACGCGAACGAAAACATATTATAAACGTTGAACCAAAGAGTTTAATGTCACAAAAATAACTCTACATATTACATGCATTCATAACATAAGCATGCAAACAATTATATTTAGAGAAGTAATATCGTCAATGCAATATAAAATTGTAAATAAACATGCAAACATCAAAGATGAGGTATGATGGCACATAGCTCAAAGGTATACATCCACATACACACAAGCAAGAATCGTGATGTATTTTACTGTCTCGTAGTCTCATAATTCTCATCCCTTTAATCTATCAACATTAGTACTTTAGATAATACTTGGATCACATACGCATCAGGAATGTACATCCACTGACTTTAAAATTATCAAGTACCTAAAGTGAGACCTAGGTCACCTACGCATTAGGAATAGCAACCGATTAGCGTACTCCTTTAGAGTATCAAGATGAGTTTAGGTCATATGAGCATTAGAACATCCGACTAGTATACTCTAAGTGCCACAACATGACTCTTAGAAAGTCTGGATAACTCTTACCTATAATAAACTATCGTCATACAAGTAACTTTTTCACCTCATGCCCTCCATATTTTCTAACCTTCTCTATCTCACTTTACCCATGGAAACTCTCAACCCGTTTTTTTTATTCTATTTTAGCATAACGTTGATGTAAGTATCTCTTAGCATGGTCCTTTATAGTTTCTTACGAGATGAGCCTTCATCACAAAATAAGTTTTTCTTTCAAATCGAAGTTGTTTCACTATTTGAAGTCTTAAGGACTAGACTTTCTTCGGAATGTTGTGAATCGGTTTTTTGAGTTCATATTAACTCGATTGAGCTATGTTTGGTTTAAGATTTTAATATTGTGTGGGATTTATAGATTTTTTTAAAAAGGAATAAGGACGTTGACGTCAGATTTAACATAACAATTCAAGTACAATGATATGATAACTGATGTCGAATGTATTATTTTGTATTCACGATGATCATAATTTTTCAAATGTTATTTACTTTGAATTATATGTTATTTTTCTCCCGATTTGACTTAACCTTAAATCAAACATTCAAACCAATGTCTCTTGTATGTATTTTCTTTGTTTTTTTAAATTTAAATTATAATGTATTGGATCCTTGTAATTTCCGGATTTTACATATCAATTCATTGTCACTTTTAATGAAAAAAACTATAACTATATAAATTATATTGTTTGAACAAAAAAATATCAATGGAATAAAAGAACTATTGCCGGCACTTGACCGTTGAAATGAAAATTAAAGGAAAAATAAGAAGAAAATAGAACGATGAAAAAATAAAAATGAAAAAATTAAATATTCTCGATCCTGTAAGTAACAGTGGTCGATTCCATTGTCTCTCCTTTTCCCTCTGAGTTGCTTGACTCGGTCGTCATTTCCAAAAAAAGAAAAAAGAAGCCAAATTAAATAAAATTCCCACACTTTAACCCTAGGAGGAGAGGAAAAGAGATCTGATTCCTTTTTGCTTTTCAAAAATAATCTCTGAATTTAGCAGATCCGCTTGAAAAGTCTGCTAAATTTAGAGAGAAAATATAGTTAGGGTTAGGGTTTGGTGTTCGTTAGAATGATGGGTTCAAGAGGTTTATTCGGTTGGTCACCACCCCACATACAGCCTTTGACACCAGTCTCGGAAGTTTCGGAGCCGCCGGAGTCGCCTTCTCCGTACTTGGATGCAGCAGCGGAAGCTTCTGGTGATGCGGCAGAGGTGGAGGCGGAGGAAGTGATGGAGGAGGAGGAAGAGATCGAACCGCCTCCTGCCGCCGTTCCATTCTCAGGGCTCTTTGCCTGTTCTGACAGTCTTGATTGGGTTCTCATGTTCTTTGGATCGGTTGCTGCTGCCGCTCATGGGACTGCTCTTGTTTTTTACTTGCACTATTTTGCTAAGATCATTCAGGTTCTTGGACTTGGGTCGACAGCTCAGGGGCAAGAAAGATTCGATCAGCAGTTTGACAGGTTTAAAGAGGTTAGTGCTATTCATTTATTTATTAATTACTAAGCTTTTTTCTGGGATTTTAAAGGTTTGTATTAGTGTTTTAGTTAATATTTTGATAAATTGAAGTGAGGTACTAATGATTATTGTGTAATAAATAGTAGGATTTTATAATTTTTAGGAGTTCCAACATATTGGGAATTTA